TGCTACCCAAAAGATTGATTGGCCTTGTTTCCTTACTTGTTTCATTATGGATACCGGGTCCCCATTTCAAGTCTCAAAGCCTGACATCTCTCATAAAAAACCCGCCAGAGACCGAAATAGCAGATGCCAAGATTGGTGGTGGCAGGAACCAGCTGCAGTGTCAGTGCTAACATTGTCTGTCAGATCCAGTGGGATTTCATAGCATCCTTTCTCTTTCCTCCTCTAATGTTTAGTCAGGTGGGTATAACTGCACAGCAGTGCATCCTAGAAAGCTCCAGCTAGGTCTTAACGTTTTCACTTCTGTTGATATTTCCAAAGGAGAAACTTGTATACCATCACCATCTGGCAAGTCAAGTAGGCTGCCAAGAAGAAGCCAATAAAGGATTGGTAATATCCTTGGCAACAAAGCCTGGAGCAAGGAACAGAAATTAAGATGCTACAGAGCACTGGTTTTCAACCTTGGCAACGTCAAGATGGATGGACTTCAATTCCCAAAATTCCCCAGCCAGCATAGCCTCTTATTTTCTGTTCCTTCTATTAAGGTAGAGAAACATTACAAATAGAGCTGGAGGTGCGTTGATTTGTTTCCACTCAAAAGAGTTGGAAGGGACCTTAGAGATCTTCTAGTCCAATCCTCTGCTCAAGCAGGAGACCCTATATCATTTCAGACAAATGGTTGTCCAACCTCTTCTTAAAAACCTTCAATGTTGGAGCACCAACAACTTGCGCTGGCAAGTATTTCCACTGATTAACTGTTCTCACTGTCAGGAAAGTTCTAGGTTTGTTCTCACCTTGATGAGAAGGACTATTGTCCTGATCTGACCTACAGGCAGTCCTCAAATTACGATCATCTATTCAGCAATTGTTCAAAGTAATGATGGCACTGAACAGACTTACAACTGGTCCTCAAACTTCCAGCTGTTGCCACGCTTGCATCGCCCAGATCTTTCTTAATCCAGGATCAGCAGACACTGCAGTCAACCTTGAAGCTGATCTGACTGAGGCCATTTTGAGACATTGGTGTTGCCACACTGGAGCTGAGGGAAAGGGAGGGGGAAATAGAGATCGTGGGGGTTTGTAGTCAAAATATTTTCTCCTGGGAACCAAGGACATTCCCACAGGTGACCAGAGAGAAGAGCAATGTCGCCTGACAACCGGGCGGGACCTTGATTGGACCATGTGACTGGTTTTTGGGGAAAGAGGAGAAACTTTTGATTAGATGAAAACCATGGAGATATTCAGAGTCGGTTTTCACCAGCTTATGCCAATATGATATGTCCAATAAACCAATTCTTTGAGGAATCTACTTGCTTCCGAATTCTTTTTGTTATGGATGTATTCCTTGGAACCCTGACAACTGCTACATGGGTTCTTTATTCATTATTATTTTTCAGTGCCCAAGCACACACTTACAACTTTGGAGGGGAATCATAGTTACAAATTTTAATTGAAATAACAGGGTTCCAAACATATTTCATTGACAGCTTTTAGGTACCTGGCTTACAGCTGGCGTTTGTAATATCTTAATACATCCTGGCATGGAGAAACCAAGGATATGTATTGGTGAAACCCGAAAACACCATCAACTTTTAACTCAACCTTGTTCCCTCATGCTTCCCCTTTCATTAACGAACACCACTATCTAAGCATTCTTATGTCCTCAATGGAAGGCTTATTCCCCCCAAACCCACCCACCAAACCATACGGTTATATGGTTATATATATGCCCTCCTTCTAGACAAACCCTTTGATTCATGCCAACATTCCCTTAAAAGAACCTTTACCTGTCACGGTTGCTATGGAGATAAACTGAATTCCCTCAAGGCATCATCACACAAATGGAAAATGTGAGCAAATCCTCAGGAAGATAGAAGCTGCCATCTTGGATCTTGGTTTGAGTCAACTCTTCTACTGAGACTCATGAAGAAGACATATCTGAAAGGGGGTGATTAGGCAAAGAAAAAACCCCTGAATCCCACTAGCCCTTTTTCAGTATAGATTCATCTTGCTAAATATATGTAGATATCAGGGCACCATTTTTCCTCATTCATTTGTGATTCTCTGAATGCAAGCCACTCTCAAAAGTGGTCTGTGTGGAAGGCTATTTCAACATCTCGGTAATACTGAAATAAGCCCTCATTTCACATTTGGTCTGAACATGGTTAGAACCTTAAAATGCATTAAATACAGAAAGTTGGGACCCAAAACTCTATTCAATGTTCTGCATGAATAAATTCATTTCGCTCAAATAAGGGGCACTTCCCATTATATACTTCCTGCAAGAAAAGTTTCCTCACAAGACAGGCAGGCAGTTCTGCTGCTGAGCACATTTCCTGCTGTTAGGAAGTTTCTCTAATAGTTAACTGATTATTCATTAACTTTCATCCTGCCTTCAGAACTATGGAGTAAAGGGTCGCCCTACAGTCTAAGAAACAGCTTTTTAGGTATTGGACAACTGCTGTTTTACATTGCTTCCATCCCTCCTTTGAAGAAATCCTGATCATGTTCCTCATTCCATCCTCAAAATAATGAAGATGCAGTAAGAAAGATCCAAAACTCTGCACTAAATTCTGTGACATAACTATCATTTGTGAGAAATGCATCTTCAAATGTAAATGAGGTCTAAAATTTCACGGCTGTCCAACACGATTTATATTTCTAACTTTACTGACATCATGGGCATTAGATCCTTTAAGTGCCTGTAAGGCTTTGTGCAAAGAATTCAGCCTCTTGACCAGTCTCTCAAACTTAGCAACCTGAGGATAACTGGACTTCAACTCCCAGAATTCTCCAGCCAGCATGGAGAATTCTGGGAGTTGAAGTCCACTTATCTTCGTGTTCCTAGGGTTGAGAAAAATTGCTCTTGACAATTATACTTCAAGTTAAATATGTAAACTCCATGACTACATTTAACATCTCTCAATATCTCAGGTGCTATGGAATGGAGGAACGATCCTAAAATGGATACTGCATTCTGGGAATATTTCCTTCTGTCCCAATGAACTATACACATTTCTCTGTGGTTCTTTGAAGCTAAGCAAATATTGTATTGTAAGCTCAGTGGGCTTCAGAAAATACTTATAGTGATGGGCAATATTCTTAAACTCACTCTCTAAGAGTTATCTAATTTACCATGACTGTACTTAGGGACTATTTCCATTGCCTGGTATGTGACCTATTCTTGTGTATGACCGAAAGACAAATACAGCCAAATTACATTCTCCAAAATTCTTGTGACAACTTTCTGTTTTACTTCCATCCTCTTCTCTTTTCACTTTCAAGCACTTTTGATATTTACAGATTTCCAGTTTAGTCTGGAATGAAAAAAACCTCTCTCTAAAGCAGTATTTCTCAAACTTGGCAAGATGTGTAGACTTTGACTTCTGAGTGAGGAATGAGGTTGGTAAAATGAGGACGCAAATAGTTGGGGGCAATAGGCTGACTCTGTAAACCGCTTAGAGAGTGCTGTATAAAGCACTGTGAAATGGTATATAAGTCTAAGTGCTACTGCTATTGCAGTAAGAGTTTCCTCCAAGTTTGAGCTCTCAGAGACAGGCTTAAGTTGTCACTAAGACAAATGGCAGAAAATTGCATGACATCTGAATTACTCCAGGAAATATTGGATATGGATTATAAGATGGAGATGACAGCTAAAGTGAAAATATATGTCTTATTTTAATCCTGGTCAAAGAAACCAACCATGTACTCTTTTTACTTCTAGCAATCGTGAATTCATTCAGATACTGTGTAAATAAATACAAATGACACACCAAAAGAATGTCCTTACTGCAAAAGAGGTTTGCTAAAGCTTCAAAAGAGCCTTTGAGATGGGAAAACTGAAGAAAGATGACACCCTACGACAACATCTGAATGAATTCAAGATTGCTACAAGCAAAGGAATACGAAGTTGGTATGTTTGACCAAGGTTAAACTAAGACATTTTTCTATAAAATTATGGGAACCCTTTAATGAACTTTTTGTTGCTACAAGGACTGAAATGTTAATTTATAGATTTGAGTATGAGTAAGGGATTGGCTATGGAAAGAAGAGATACTTGCATATACCTTATAAGAGGTGAAGAATTACTAAGTTTGTACATGTTATGATGAACAATCAAAGATCACTTCTTTAAATATTTTCTCTTTTTCTTATTTTTTCCTCTTTCCTTTTTTTCTTCTTTTCCACTTCTTATTCTGTTTCTTATTTCTCTTTTCCTTTCTGGGTTTAGTTTGTATTCTTTTATTATTGTTTCTATTTGAAAAAAATCAATATATGTATATATATATATATTTAAAAGTGTGACTTCAACTCCCAGAATTCATGGGGGTTGAAGTCCACCTATCTTCCCCATGTATTCAAAGATGGGGAATTCTGGGAATTTAAGTCCACCTATCTCAAGTTGCCAGGTTTGAGAAACACGGCTCCAAAACATCTCAGAAGATTGAACTTTTCGAAGTAGATTCTCCCACCCCTTTATAACACTTTGCCCCATCTTTAGTACTACAACCTCCCCATACACATATATCTGGGGGGTGGGGGGGATTTGACCTCAGGCTTCCCAAGCAAGGGTTCACCAAAGGACAGGTTTGGGAAGCCAACCAATCTGAAAGGCATCAGGTTGGGAAAGGCTGGCTTATATCCAAGCGGCACTGCTCAGGAGGACACTCCAAATAAATCCAGACTGGATTGTTCCATTCTCACCTTCTCACTCTTGTTATCTTTACAATCACTACTTATGAATAATCTATGATTATTTTAATACCACCCACATTTGTGTTTTGGTTTAAGTCCTCTGGAAAATCCAGCCAAGAATTCTTCAACAGTATCCATTCCTAGCATAGTAGAAGATAAAATAATCCCAAAGGTGATTTGATCCAAACCTTCTCTGTTTCAAAAATGTCTTCCATGTGAATGTCTTCCATGTGAAGTTTGGGCCATTTGGGAGTCTCTTTACTTCACCATTATGTATATTCAGTCCTTCAAATTACTGTTGTACCAGGTAAAACAGATGATTTTACCTTGTTTTTTGAACATAATCCTTATGAAGTCCCCACCATCTGAAACCCAACACTTGCTTGAAAAAAGTCACAATTTTAATCATAGTTTAGTCCAAGGTAGCAGTGACCAGAGGTAGGTGATGGGATTATTCCTTAAATCCCCGGTTGGCTTGCATCTTCTTATAATAGTTTTCCATCTCTTCTGCTTGCCCGTCTTTTTCCCCCACCGTTAAGCTAGCTGGTTTCCTCCGCAGCGTGGATTCCCGGCTGGAGGCCCCCAGAAGGCTTTCTCCTGGGCTGGTTTCTGCTGAAATCAATGATGAACTCCCTCCCAGACCCACTGACACGTTGATGGTGGCCACACTGCCATAACGGGCCTCCTCCTGTTCAATGTCGCTGACGGAAGAACCCGGTGAGACTCCAGTGCTTTTGGCAGGCCGGAACCCATGGTAATCTTTGCTCATCTCGTTGAGCTCGTAAGTATCTTGGCTATCCGAAGCTTTCTGGGTGGCCTTCCATTCCCAAGGGCCATTTCCAGAAGACAGATGTACCACTGGGTGGTGAGGGGCATGGGCATCGATGGTAACCACACTAGAGCTATCTCTTTCTGATGGAGAGCAGTACTGGGAGGAGTCAGAACTGGTGGAAGACGAAGATGTCTCTGAATGCTTGGGTGTCACTGATACCATCCCAGGTTGCTTGGACATGGCAATCACCTGCATGAGGCGTGGTGGGTTGGCCACCCGCTGGGCAGCCCCCTTCTCAGCCATCATCATCCACTTGGCCCTCACAGCCGAGCTGCTTTTGGGGGAAATATTAGCACCGGCGTTAGCTTGACTTTCCTCAGGGATGTGGACCAGTTGAGTGGCCCTGGGTCTTGGCTGGATGAGGACCCGAGGACCCATAGAGGCACGCTCAGCTGTTCGCGCCTGGACGGTGGGGTACAAGGAAGGTGGGATATGATCCTCCTCTTCTCCAGCCAAGGAATCTGAGGCAACCCGCCTTGCTACCTCTTCTGCCAAGGTCATTCCACGGCCTTCCACGGATTTCTGTTTCCATTCAGTGATCAGCTGTTTAGACCGGGAGGCGTCCACCGGGACGTGGATGGTCATATGGCGGCGTGCAGGGTCATCCATTGAAGGGGTGCTGACCCGTGGTAACGTGTTGCTGAAGGTCACCATGTTTTCTTTGCCCATAGGGCTCCGGGGTGCCAAAAGGTCCACGTCAACACTGGCCCGTTTCAAGCTCCCCAGTGAGTTTTTCTCACGTGGCACTTGCCGGTTCATCCCTTCCAGCCGGGTCTGGGGGTTGAGTTCATCGGTGCTGACCGACTTGTTCTGGTGATAAACGGAGTCATGGCCACGTTGAGTCAGGGCTCGGAGAGCGTCCTTGGCAGGAGGATGAGACGGAGCCTTTTCTATTGGTGCCCGGAAGTTGCCCACTGCATGATAGGCCTGTGTGTAGCAAGGAACATGGGGTAAAGATCTGAAAAAGCTCAGAGGAGGATGGAAATAGATATTGTCCTGTTCCCTATTTTACATAAGTAAAACATATTTGGTATAGCTCTCTGGGACTATATATTCTGACCCAGCCTTTGCAAGTAGTGATAAGATGTCTACTCATGAGTAAAACAACCCCCCTTTTATAACCAGGCAGTAACAGTCTTTTTTCCACATGGATAAGCAAAAAATCAAACATAATTAGTCCCAACAAACCTGGGTTTAGCCAAGAAATCTGAATTGCTTGCTGTATGTTAGAAATGAATGGTTGTCTGCGACTACCAGCCACTCCAAACCCCTCCTACTTATTTTCCAGCCAGGGAGGGGCTGGCTATCGTCTGTGTCTGCCTCTCCCTGAGAACTGGCTTATTGTTTTCCTTTGCTCTCCTCTCTTTTCCCCTCTGCACCTATGCACATCTGGGATGGGCCCCATCTGTTCCTCCCTGTCTCTTAGCTCAGGCCCAGAAGACAACTGCCTCTCCACCTGGGGAAGGACAGAAGGCCCCAGTGATGCTGTTTCTTGATCAGAGCCTTCCAAGGCTCCAAAGCTGGCCCAGGCTCTCCCTCCACCTCCTCCTCCTCCTGCTCCTCCTCCTGCTCCTCCTGCTCCTCCTCGTCTGACTCTGCAGCTAGCTCTACTGGCAGCTGACGGACCACAACACTATATATATATAGGAGGAGAGCCTAGGGGAGAGTTAAAAGAGGGATCAGCCTAGAATCCCTAAGCAGTCTAACTCCCCTTGAATTCCACCCGTATCTAATTCCAAGCAGGTGCTACCCATTAGTTGAGAAGATTCCTGTGCAGAGACTGTTTAGCAGTAAATCCGTTTAACTGGACCTTCACTTATGGACCCACAAGTGGATTTTTATGGCACTGGAGAATGTTTCAAACATTCCATGCTTTTCAGAGTGGCACAGCCTGAGAAAGGCTCCCTGTAGGGATGAGATTCTACCGGTTCAGACCAGTTCTATAGAACCGGTTGTTATGATTCTGCACAGTTCGGAGAACCGGCAAATCGTGCCCCTGGCTGGTCCCTCCCCTCTCCGCCTGCCTCTCCCCTCCCTGCCCAATCAGCCCTTATCGTGCATGCACGACATCGTGCACATGCCTGACATCGCTGACTGCGTTCTCCCTCACCCTGTCACTCCTTAAAGTTTTTTTCCCCCTCCCAACGATCAGCTGCTCTGATGACCAGCTGTGCCAGGATCCCCCTTGCTATCTTACTGCTGCGCCGCCCCCCACCCACTCCATTTTTTTGCCTTCCTGGGCCCCAGGGAAGTAAAACTGCCCACCCGGAGGCTTCCCTGATGTCCAGGAGGCCCCAAAACAGGAGGGGGGCTGCAAAAAAAAAGAGGCCACGTTCACCCAGTCACTTGGCCATGCCCACCTGGCCACGCCCACAGAACCGGTTGTTTAAAAATTTGAATCCCTCCCACGGCTACCTGACATGATATGTCTACCACTTTTAGTAAACAGGAGCCCTTCTTCTCTCTGCCCCTTTTTCCCGTGGCACTTGGAAAGACAGGTATCAAGATTTGAAGCAGGCTTTTGCTGTTGCAACCCTTATCGCTTCTCAGCTTGCCAACGAACCAAGGTGGAGGGAAGGGGAAGACGGAATGTAAGCTCCAGACCTCAAGAAGACGAGCATGAGAGCCAAGGACACCCCAGCAGGTGTCTGCGAATGCCAAAGACTTTCTCAAAACAATATAATGAGGCTCGATTGGACAATGTGACCTGCACTAAGAGTGGGGGGGAGAATCCTATTCTTTAATTATGGGAGTTTGCACAGGATGTAGCTAGATCTGGCTTTGCCCTGAATCAGTGCCGAAATGATATACACAATAAAGTTTTGCATTCAGAGATTGAATCGTCTCACTCATGCTTGCTTGGTTGGGTTCCTCAGTCAGAAAGTTGACAATAGGCACTTACCAGGTAAGCAGCAATGCCAGAACCAATCAAGAAGCCCACATAAACATCAATAGGGTGGCTGCGGTACTGGGTGATCTGCGTCAAGCCACAGATTCCAGCTGCTATGGCAAAACCAAACACCAAGATTGGCTTGAGGAGCTTGGTGCTGTCTGAGATTATAGAGTTGAAATACATCTGTGGATGATAATGGAGACAATCAGCTTTCTAGGGTAAACCAGATGAGGAACACCACTAGATGAACTACTTCTACTTTATTGTAAGGCTACACGAACAGATTCTTGCAAGCCTGAAAATACAAACTTCCCACCTGCCACTTTTAAATGCTAGAGCAATTGGGGGGAGGTGTCCTTCCTAAGTTTCTTTCTTTGACTGTTGAACAATTTGTGGATTCCTGCCTTTCTTGTCTAATTGTCTCCTGGGCAGCATCTCTTCCCTTCTTTCCTTAAGGTTCTCTATGCATTCCATTACAGAGACATTATATAGCAACCCAATCGCTTATTATCTGGAACTTTCCATTGGGTTGTGATTGAGACAGTATAGATTTGCTCAGTACAGCCCAATCACACACAGACATTGAGCAGCATGTAAATATAATCAATTATGATCTTTTCACAACAATATGAAGTCACAGCTATCAATACTTTAGCTGGTGTTGGCCTTCATTTGTATTACATTCTTCCTGAGAACAAAGGATGTGGCAGAATGGATGGATGGATGGATGGATGGATGGATGGATGGATGGATGGATGGATGGATGGAGAAACAAATAAAAGAACCTAGGCTGCAACAATGTATTGGTGTAGCATATGTGCAGATCCAAGAAGGGCTTTTGTAATTGACAGATGGAAGTTTTGTCAATGCCCAGATCTAAGTGTTATCTAAGGTTTTTTGGTATGGTACCCAGTGTGCTGACAGCTGCTGGTTTACACCATAATTTTCCCGCCTGTGATTTTTTTACAATCTTCTCCAATTCTTTGTTTTCTATTTTACTATTCCCAGGTTTTGCCACATCAATTATCCACACTTTCTTTTCAACCACAGTTAAATCAAACTTTATAAGGATGACTCAGCCTTCCATTCTTCCGAGGTCAGTAAAATGAGAACCCAGATTGTTAGGGGCAATATGCTGACCTGTAAACTACTCAGAGCACGGGCGTCAAACTCGCAGTGTCACGTTGCTGTCACATGACGTTTCGCGAAGTTTTTTCCCTTCCTGGAGCTGGGGTGGGCGTGGCCTGCATGTGACGCATCCGGCCCGCAGGCCACCATTTTGACACCCCTGGTTTACAGAGTGCTTTAAAGCACTCTGAAGCAGTATATAAGTGTGCTATTTCTATTTGGAAATCCCACCAAAAACCTGCTCATTTTTTACTACTATTCCAACTACCAATTTTTCATTACTCGCACATAATAATTTTTAGCTTTCAGTGAATCATTTTGGCAGCATTGTTATCTAGCTGCTTGTGGTCAGTTTATGCTAACTTCTTGCATGAGTTGAGTATATGACCCAATGTTTCTTCTGCTTCTTTGCACAATCTGAACTTTGAATTGTTTTGATGTTTTTTTCAAATCTAGCCTTGACACTATTTGTTTGAATAGCTTGCTCTTGAGCAATCAAAATCGATCCTTCAGTTTCTTTCAGTTCCAATTGTAAGCTATTCCCAGGTTTTATCTTTATCCACTTTCCCTTCAGTAAGCTCCTCTTCCTGATCCTCCCCCCTCTCCCCTTTCTCTTTCAAAAGGAGTTTTTCAAATTGGCATCCTGCAGATTCCTGTAAAACCCCAAACAGGTGGGTTTCAGCCCCTTCCCCCCGTCCCAATTTTGCTAATGGGAAACATAGCCGGACACTCAGCTGTGAGCTCAAGGCCAAGCTAGGTCTGTGCAAGTTTTTCTGGGGTGATTTTGTCTATGATTCTCAGTCATCCAGGTCACAGTTGGCCCAAAGATACTTTTTTCGAACGGCAACTGGACTTCATTTTTCCTTGAAGACATTTCACTTCTCACCCAAGAACCTTCTTCATTTCTGACTGAATGGCAGAGAATGGAAGGATTTACATTCCTTGCAGTCATCTGGTCGTTAGCACTCTTTCTGAGAGTCATTGAGACCACTTGGAGGTTTATCTGTGCCCTCAGGATCACCCGAATATTGATTTTGGGGTGATTTTGTTTTCAGTGACATGCTGAGGAAGGGGCAAAGGGGCAGCGTTCTGTTTGTAGTATCAAAAGGGAAAAAAATGAAAATTTCATTTCATTAGATTTAAATGTAATTACAGTTCATTGCAGTTAATATGATTATGCCTCAGTATGTCTTTAATAGTCTTCTCTTTCTGTTATATTAAAAACATAATTGCATCTCAGCTATTGGAGGCTTTGTCTGTCTTAAATAGCACTTCTCTATTCTACGACATGCAGGATTCTTTAGGAATCTGATTTTTTTTCCGGTATTGACATTAACAAGCAAAACTCACAGATACGTAGACAGCAGCAAAGGCAGACAGGGTGGCGTGCTGAGAAGGGAATGTTTTCCTGGAAGAGAGAAAGAAATTATACAAACATCCATGATCCATTTGCAGTCAGGAGATCTTAATTTTACAACACACTGACAAGCTCAACCAGAACTGCACTTAGCAAGATGCACTTCGGCTTAAAACCTTGTGCTCTCCAGACTTCTTCCCAATTTTAAAAATGATGGTGGACTCTAAAAAAACTTTTGTTGGTATGGGTTATATATTTAGTGATATCTGTCATGTTAAAAATGAAAACTCACACATTCTTGGAACATATATGGAATCATGTAAAAAATAGCAATATTAAACCCATTTAGGTAGTCCTTGAGTTATGACAGCAATTGGGACTGGGATCATCCCTAAGTGAGGCAGTCATAAAGCACAATGTCATGTGACTGCCTCATTTAGCGACAGAAATTCAGGCAGTTCCTGTTGTCATAACCATAAGACATGAGGGTCATTCAGTGGGAAGTTAAAAGCAAAGGGGAAAACAGGAACAATCTACCTATATGTCCAACTTTGTAAGTACAGCAAAATGAGACAGTAAATCTACAGCTAGCAAATTAGATTATTATTGTGCTACTGGCACTCAGTCATAATAAACAGCTATGCAAGCAGAAACTAGTATACCTGTAGTCTTCGACTTACAACAGTTCATTTAGTGACTATTCAAAGTTATAATGGCATTGAAAAAAGTGACTTATAACCGTTTTCACAGTTATGACTTTTGCAGCATCCCCATGAAGATGTGATCAAAATTTGGATGCTTGGCAACTATTTATGACGATTGCAGTGTTGCAGGATCATGTGCTCACTTGTTGTGACCTTCGGACAAGCAAAGTCAATAAGGAAGCCAGATTCACTTAACAACAGGCTACTCGCTTGTTAACTGTAATGATTGACGTAACAACTGAGGCAAAAAAGTTGTAAAATGGGGCCAAACTCACTTAACAAATGTTTCACTTAACAACATAAATTTTGGGTTGTGGTTGTGGTTGAGGACTTCCTATATAAGGGACTAAATGCTAGTTTCCTGCTTCAAAAATGCTTATTTAGGAAAGAAACCCTAACTATTTTTAATATCTTAGTATCTCTTATCGCTTAGATGTTGGCTAAACCTGGCTCTAAAAAGGTACAAGAAAGAAACACAATACAATTCTAATAGTAAATTTTCAAATGACTGTCAGATTCTCCCCAAAAATTGATGCAAATTTGCTAAGAAACTGTGGTGGATGATATTGTGATAGCAACTGATCAACTGAGCTAAGCCTGAACGAATGACACATATTTATTTATTAAAATTATAAGCCGCCCACCATGCTATCCAGAATGACTCTGCGTGGAATATAAACGGAAGTTGTAACAACTTTTAATTAGAAATAACTGGACTGCACATGACAGCAAAACCTGGTTTTCAGAGCAGATGTAAAACAAAAGAGGAGATGGACTCACCTGGCTGAGAGAATGGCGTGCTGGTCTTGACCTGAGCAGATATCTTGAGTGATGTAAGGGTTGGACTCGCAGGAGATAGCCAAGAGAGTATAGTTGGGCTTACAGACGGTCAAGAAGAAAGGGGCGTGGTATCCTGTGGCTAATTGGATGACATCGGTCACCAGGGCTGTGGCACAGAGGCCAAACACATGGACACCTGAAGTGGGGAGCAAATTCAGGTAAGGTTAGGGCCTGGGAGTCACTAGTGGAATGAATGAAAGGACAGAAAGTAAGGGGGGGCGGTCCTTGGTACATACTGTGCAAAAGAGACAATCAACAAGCCGAAAAAGGGAACAAAAAGGCCAAAATACCACCCCCACCAGCAATCAGCATCTAGATAAGCGTAGATTAACACCATGATTAACATCAAACTAACAATCAAGAAGTAAACAATACCCCAATCAAGGAATTGCCAAACAAGCTAACAGTAAACAGTCCAACCACAGAACCTCACCAACACAAACAGGGCAAGTCACTAGAACAGGGGTGTCAAACTCAAGGCCCGTTGGCTGCATCCAGCCTGCGGGGTGCTTAGATCTGGCCCGCAGGACTGACCTGGAAACAGCGAAGGACCAGCCCGCAGTGCCTCTGCCAGCAAATACGCGGCCCACCCAAGCTCCGTTTTCAGTGGCAGAAGGTTGCAGGAGGCCATTGCAGCCGAAAACGGAACTCGGGAGCTTGTTTTCGCTGACAAAACACTCGGGCTACCACAGGCGCCCCCAACATGAGTGACATCAAGCTGGTCATGCCCCCCTGGCCACGCCCCCCCCGGGTCAAACACAACCCTGACGCAGCCTTCAATGAAATAGATTGACACCCCTGCACTAGAATGTAAACTGGGAGCAAACCCCAATCCCAACTAGCACTTGATGATTTAACCTAGTTTGGGCAATGAAGCATCTGCAGGAAAATAACCAAGCTCAGAGAGCACCAAGGACCCCTCTTTTCAAACCCTGAGCTGCAAATATTCCCTTCTATTGGTACAAAGAGTAACCTTAAGCATATGAAGGTTTCTTCTTAGCTTTCAATTTCAATTTCTTAGCTTTGCCAATTACCATAGCCTTAGTGGAGAAACCAGAGAGATGTTTTGACCAAGGGTACCTTCTAGCCTCCAACTCCAAAAACAGAAGCTGACCCTCACCAACCACACAAAGTGAAGGGCAGCAATTTTCTATCAAGATTTCTTCTTTCTTACAAGAAACCTCTTCTAAAATTTAAGACCTATTTTTTTAAAAAAAAAGTTGGGTGGAAGGTCAGATTTCCCAGTGGACTAGGAATGAAAAAATGAGAGAGAAAACTGATGGGCGAAATGGCCTACTGGAATGGGGGAGTTTTGTTATAAAAGGTGCTTTATTGATGACCAAATCATTAATGAAATAATTTATTTGATGATCCAAGACACAGTGATTCTCAATCTGAGAAAAGAATCCACTGCTTTTCTATGACAACAAGCAAAGAGGAGTGTTTCCAATTAACAATGTTGATTCAAAACAGCAATGTTAGACCCTTTGAATTCATTTTCTATTTTTATCTCTCTCTCTTTTTTTCCATTTGGAGTCTGCAGTGGGGAAAAAACTTTGCAGTCATATCTTGGTATGCCAACACTTCGTCTCTCAGACACAGGGATGCAGGTAGTCCTCAATTTACGGTCATTCAAGGTTACAACAGCACTGGAAAAGGTGACTTACAATCTATCCTCACACTTATGACCACTGCAACACCCCCACAGTTATGTGATCAAAATTTGGGCACTTGGCAATCGGTATGTATTTATGACAATAGAATAGAATAGAAATAACAGAGTTGGAAGGGACCTTGGAGGTCTTCTAGTCCAACCCCCTGCTTAGGCAGGAAACCCTACACCATTTCAGACAAATGGTTGACCAATCCCTTCTTAAAAACTTCCAGTGTTGGAGCATTCACAACTTCTGGAGGCAAGTTGTCCCACTGATTAATTGATATTGGGGTCATGTGATCTCAATTTTCACCTTCCTAGGAGACTTCTGACAAGCACTCAATGGGAGAAGATGGATTCACTTAATGACTTAGCAGCCACAGCAAAAAGGTTGTTAAACCACACGTAGAATTTCCAGTCCCAATCACGGTTGCAAGTTGAGGATTGCCTGTATGTAGCTGAGGAAGGACCTAAGCTTAAGCTATTAAACTAGAGACATTGGGGTGGTCAAGAAGGTGAAGATGCCAGCTTCTATGGTGTGGTTGTGACGGCATTAGGGCATTTGATTCCAAAAAGAGGAAGGGTGGAAATAAGCTTACCGACAAACCGGACTGTCCTGCGGAGAAAAGAGTTGAAATTGCAACCGCCGGCATTTATGCTGCCTTCAGTGTTGCTACGGCCCTTCGTCTTGGACTGCAAGCAATACACGATGCCTTCGCCCACCATGATCTGCCAAGCAAAGCAGCAGTGTCAGACGCCAATTCCTTCCCTCCATCTGCCCACCCTGGACACACACACACACACTCTCTCTCTCTCTCTCTCTCTCTCTCTCTCTCTCTCTCTCTCTCTCTCTCTCTCTCTCTCCTTTAACTCCCAGAATTCCCCAGTCAGCATGAGGAATTAGATGAGCCCATGGATGCTCTTAATCCTGTGTTGCCTATTTAATCTGAAGTGCTGCACAACCCTCGTTTCTGATCTTTAGGATCTGCCTGAGAGCTTCTCCTGGTGGACGAAATGGACCAGCAATCCAACTCAGAGGACCAAATTAGACAGAAAAACTAAGCAGAGGGTTCTTGCTTTCAAGCCCATCTGGTGAGCATTTGCCGGTCACTGTTGGAAATGGTGGGATTAATGGGGCTTGGGAATCAGTCCAGCAGAATCCGTATGTCACCTTCCTTCAGCCAGGCTCTCTACCAGATGCCTTGGGTCTTTAGCTCCCAGATGGTGACTAGGAATTGTAGTCCCAAACCATGTGGAAGGTCCCTGTTGGAGTAGGTTGCCTTGTGTTCCTGAGGGAACTGTATGGGGGTGGGGAGGAAAGACAGCTGTTTAATGATTCAGGCGGTCTTCTTCAGGGTGAGACAGTGGGACTTTGATCACAAAGGTTCAGACACCATCTTGAATCCCTTCCTCTACTGTAGACACCCCAGAGAACTGCCATTTTGGATATGAGCAAACAGGATGAAAAATCTGAACCGAGAGCCAGTGTGGAGTAGAGGTTAAGGCACTTAGGCCAGTGTTTCTCAATCTTGGCAACTTTAAGATGTGTGGACTTCAACTCCCAGAATTCTCCAGTTAGCATGTTTGCGGGAGAATTCTGGGAATTCTCAGAATTCTTAAAGTTCTCCACACGTCTTAAAATTGCCAAGGTTGAGCAATAGCGTGCTAGACTAAAACCAGGCTACTATGACTTCTATTCCTCCCTGAGGTATGGAAGTCAACTGGGGCCTTTGGACTAGGCCTCTCCCTCTCAACCTAACCCACTCAGCATGATAGTGGTGCAAAAAACAGGAAGAGAGAGCCTTATGTACACTATCTTGAGTTGTACAAGATAAAAGCAGGTTAGAAATCCAATACATGCAAAAATAGTAGAGAAATGTGCCATGGCCCAAGAACCAGTTTGGTCTAGCAGCTAAGGTGCTAGCCTAGAAACCAAGAGACTGTGAGTTCTAGTTCCCTGCTTAGGCGTGAAAACCGGCTGCGTGACTTTGAGCCAATCACTAGAGGAGACTGTGAGCTCTACAGAGTTAGGCATCAAACCTTGGGCCACTCACTCTCTCTCAGTCCAACCCACCTCACAGTGTTGTTGTTGGGAAAATACGAGGAAGGAGCATTAGGCATGTTCACCACCTTGAGTTACTTACACAGATAACTAAGGCAGGATATAAACAAACAAATAATACTCACAGAAGCTGCAGGAGCTGCAAATGCCAAGCTTAGCAGCATCAGCAAAGGAATCATTTCTTCATTGCTTTCAACGTAGGGCATGGAAAGGGCTCGGTCGTAACACTGGAAGCCCACCTTGGCTGGCCTGAAGAGGTCTGTCAGCTCCAGGAAGTAGAGAGTCACAATGGAGGAAGCGACAATGGGCAACTGGAGGCCGGAAGTAAGCAAAGAAATTGAGACGGGGCAAAAAGTGGAAGAATAAAGTCTGTGCTTAATGAGCCACCACATCTGGGAGCTAAAGAGAAATTGGGGTTCAATATTCAGCCTTAAGGGGACGCAGTGGCTCAGTGGCTAAGGCACTGAGCTTGTCGACCAGCAAGGTCGGCAGTTTGGCGGTTCGAATCCCTAGCGCTGCATAACAGAGTGAGCTCCTGTTACTTGTCCCAGCTTCTGCCAACCTAGCAGTTCGAAAGCATGTAAAAATGCAAGTAAAAAAAGAGGGACCACTTTGGTGGGAAGGTAATAATGTTCCTTCGGCATTTAGTCATGCCAATCGCATAACCACAGAGACATCTTTGGACAGCGCTGCCTCTTCAGCTTTGTAACGGAGATGAGCATCGCCCCCTAGAGCCAGAAACGACTAGCACACCTGTGCGAGGAAAACCTTTACCTTTATTCAGCTTTAAACTAGGACGCCCAGCCTAAACCTTTGAGTCACCTGATCTTCCTCCAGTTCTTGAGGCAGGGAGTGGAGGATAAGGAAACCATTATTTTTGCTGTCCTTACCTCAACAAAATAGAAGCAGGGAAGAAGCGTCATGCTGTCTTTGGGAGCTTTTGCCTTCTCCTTAGCAGAGATCATGGTGTCAGTAGTGGGATTTATAGGAACGGATGGGCAGGGTGTGGGAACGGAAGCCCCAACTCAGCTTCTGTTAGGAGACAAGATATATAGCTAAAGATGGAAGAAACTGCTACAATGGGAGGTGACAGAACCAGTTCTACAAAGGCCCAAATCAACATACTACAGTATATTATCCTCCTGTCCTACAACGCCTTCTTACAGATCTTCAATTTCTATCCACAAGAGGCTTCAAAAAATTGTGTGTGCATTCACTGCAAAGTGGGGAGAGGGAAGAAAAATGTCTTTGAAGTTTCTAGGGAGCAGAGACAAGCTTTTATGGGAAGAAAATGTCCATAAAACAAAGATAATGATTGCAGCTGAAGCCCTGCTGCCCTTTTTTACAGGTGCTGTTCAAAGGATGCACATATACAGGTAGTCGAGTTATGTTCATAATTAAGCCCCATAATTAAGGTTGTAAGTAATGGTTGGAAAGAGTAGCCCAGTGGCCTAGTGGTGAAGATGCTCACCTCCCACTTGGAAGGTTGGGAGATGTTTCTCTCTCAGGGCGCAAAGAAAAAATATCTGCTGCGAACTTCGCGTGGCATCAGGAAAGGCATCCGGCCAGTAAATGCTCAGCTCCATCCTGTCACCCCGACTCTACCCCCAATTAAGGTATTACAGGGTTGTAAAAGGGAAGTTGTTTTGTAAGGGTTGTGACCTGATCCGATTTTACAAACTTTTTTTTCCAGTGATCATTAAGCAAATGCCACAGTCATAAAGCAAACACTGTGGTCGTTAAGCAAACCCATTGGTCACCATAGGGCAGTTTTTGCCAAAATCCGGAAGTAAACACCAGTTTCCAGAAAAAACGTAAATCACACTCAGTGACCGTGAGGCTCAGTTGCTGACCACACAAAATGGAATCAAGTGACTGCAGGAGAAGAGATAGGAATGGAGAATTGGGTCACAAGTTCCTTTTTTGGAGTCTGTCATAAGTCAAGGACTGCCCGTAAAAGAAACATGGAGGAAGAGGTTCTCTCATCTTGACTTTAAAAGAATAACAAAGTTGGAAGAGACCTTGGATGTCTTCTAGTCCAACTCTGCCTAGACAGGAAACCCTACACCACTTCAAACAAATGGTAATCCAACATCTTTTTAAAAACTTCCAGTGTTGGGAGCATTTACAATTTCTGTAGGCAAGTCGTTCCACTGATTAATTGTTCTCAATGTCAGGAAATGTCTCCTTAGTTCTAAGTTGCTTCTCTCCTTGATTAGTTTCCATCCATTGCTTCTGGTCCTGCCCTCAGGTGCTTTGGCGAATAGCTTGACTCCCTCTTCTTTGTGGCAGCCCCCGAGATGTTGGAACACTGCTATTATATCACCCCTAGTCCTTCTTTTCATTAAACTAGGCACATCCAATAGCTGCAACCAAGTGGCACAGTGGCCTAGAGGTGGAGCTCTGGCCTAACAATCAGGAGGCTGTGAGTTCGAACCTAGGTAGAGGCTGATAATTCTTTCTCTGGACACTTTGAGAATATATGTGCTGAACATAATTCCGCATTGGTGACAGGAAGGGCATCCGGCCATTAAACACTCAGCTCCATTCAGTTGCCCAGACGCCACCCCGCAAGGGATTATGGGGTCATTAAAAGAAGATAATAAAGTATTCTAATCTAATCTAATAATGATGATCCAATAGCTGCAACCGTTCTTCAAATGTTTTATCCTCCAGTCCCCTAATCATCTTCGTTGCTCTTCTCTGCTCTTTTTTTGATTCCCTCTGCTCTACATATTCTTGTGGGAAGGCACTTTTGGAAATGAGTTTTCCAAACACCAGCCATGCTCGTTTCAAATCCTGGCGCCCACAGATTGCATCTACAAGCCACGTGGTTTTCATGTGTTGTTTTGCCACTGGAAGATTGGACAAGAAACATAAACTCTATTCATTGGACAAAACCCAAATGTCTATTTGCAAGCACATTCCATAACCATATCTCCTTACGTATTAGAAGACCTTTCCTGCTCCTGTTAAAATGTGGCACGAAGATGGGGTATTAGTGGATAAGGGAGTGTGCATTATCCTACATGTATCCTTTCCGGGGTCCAGTTCCCCAAGAGGCAAGAAGTCCAACTGACCAACAAAGCTGGCTGCAGGCCAAGCCTGATCAGCATTGTCCCATCCGATTTGGGATTATTTATTCCAACCTTCTACAGGTAGTCCTCAATTTACAAACATTCATTGAGCGAGCATTCAAAGTTATAACAGCCCTGGAAAAAAGTGATTTATGACCAGTTTTTACATATCACAGCATCTCCATTATCCTGTGATCAAAATTCAGCTACTTGTTCAACCAGCATTTATGCATGATATTGCAGCATCCCGGGGTCACATGATTGCCATTTGCCATTTTCCCCGCCCACCTTTGACAATCAAAGTCAATAGGGGAACCTGGATTCGCTTAACAACTGCGTGATTCGCTTAACAACCATGGCAGAAAAAGTCATAAACTCAGGTGCGTCATAAACTCACTCGACAACCCCCCTGCTTAGCAACAGAAATTCTCAACCCAATTGTGGTCGTAATCAAGGCCTCCCTGGACATGCGGTGTCCCCTAGAAAAGCTGGACTACAGTTCTTATCACACACAGTGCCACTTGTCTGGAATGATGATGACAGTTTGACAGGTAGGAACTGGTGGGCCGAGACCACTCTACTCTATTTGGCCATAGCAATTCTAGCAATCCTCCAAGAGGAAATCTTTCTGATCCTCCAATCTGACATCTTGTTGAGCTGGAGGATCGCTTAGCATCTGGTGCATCTAAACCATGTGTTTTGAATCCCAAGCCGCGATCTCGCCAAAGCTTTAGGGAGAATTGAATTCCTCCTTTAAAAAAGTTAAGTTTGTATATGTATTCATATACATAGAATACGAATGATACAGGTGTTGGTGATGTCTGTTTCTCTACAGAAATGAATGCCCAATCAGCAGTGAAAGATTGAAGACTCTGAAAGTGACCAGAGATATATATTCTTGTTTGGGAAAAAAAAAATCAACCTCTTGCCCATCCCGAATCTCAGTTGAAACTTGGTGAGACAAGAAAGCAGCCCATCGATTCTTAATTTCCTTTTTAATTATTTATGTTAACCTGCCAGAGTTTCAACAGATGTTTAGTTATAGGGGACACAAGACGGTAGACATGATTCAACTCTCCATGCTCACCTCTGTAAAATATTACCAATTTTCCTCTAGGGTCCATGCAAAGACAAGTGAAGCAGCTCCCATGCTAAAAATAATAATAATAATCCATAACAATAGTTGCAGGAAGAGAACGATGTGGGGAGAATCTCCAATTTTAGTAATTTATCTCCAATATTGGCATCTCGTTTGCAATGGGAGCTGTTGGACAAAGAAAGGCTGAGCCATGTGCCCTCTTCCTACCACCTGTACTCACTGATATATTGCTTCTATACATGCAGGATCCATTTAACCATCACAGCTGAGGGATCACACTAGACTGCTCTGCGTTTGCTCTGTCCAGTGCCTTTTGGAAAACTTTAACCAAAAAAACAACAAAAAAAGCATGACTGCCATGTTCCGTAGAAATGAGTTCCAAGGCACAGGATTTCCAAATTTGTGTGTGTGTGTGTGTGTGTGGGTGGGTGGGTGGGTGGGCAGCTGCTTAAAAAAAAAAAACAGCAAGTGGTCAAGAGAGAGCAAAGATGTTTTCCATATCGGTTAAATGCCCTGCCTTCTCTTCCACCCCTCCTCTGCCTTTGAGTGGCAACTGTTGAGAGGATCAATGAATGATTGATGGTCTTGACATTCCATCACGCTGAAATAAGAGGGTGGTTTTCAAATCATCCCCCCCCCCCCCCCCGCCCCACCCCCCCCCCCCCGAAATTAACCCGAATGCTACATGGTGCCAGATAAACCAGGCATGGAAAAAATGGAAGCGTGCTCCGTTCTCTGGCTCCGTCTGCCTCCAGATGAATTCTCCGAGCCTCCAGAAACATGGCTGTTGCTATGGGTTAATGGAACGCCCCACAGCAGAGGCAATTGTGAAGGGGGTGGGGGGTGCGTGCCTTGTGGGTTTTTTGTTTTTTTTCCCTCTGGGGTGCTCCCAGCCACCAGAAGCCTCACCAAACCAAGTCCATCCCTTTGTCTGGAAGTGAGGCGCAGAACCCCAGGAGCACCCAGGGTGGGAAACATGCAATGGCAGTTGGATAAAGGGAAAGAGAGAGGAGGGGAAAGGGAGAATGAATGAATGAAAGAAGGCGTGAATGAATGAAACATACCTGCCCAACATCTGCGATGCACCCCAACTGGGAAACAGGAGGAGGGGGGGTGTTTCCCCAGCGTGGACCCCTTTCCCCAATCTTCTCACCTCTCTGGTTGCTGGAGGGGGCAGAGTAGCATTTTCCCCATGCCCTTCTGAGCCTGAATTATTGGGGAGGGGGCGTTTCATTAAAAGAGGAGCGGGCTGTTGTTTTTTTTTCCCCCTTGCCTTAAAGGTTAGTTCGCCCACCACTTCTCTCTTTGGAGAAGAGCAAATCAAGCAGCTTTAACACACATACACACATACAAAAGCCAAGGGAGGGAGAAACGTGTGAAAGGGGGTAGGGTGGTGGAGATCTCTGCTTGGACTCCAAGAATGGCCACCTGCACCCCACCCACTCACCCACCCACCCTTCCCCAGAAGGAGCTTGGAAAGCTCTCGCTATCTCACCCGCCCTTTCCTCCGCCAAGCAAAATGGCTTGTGTGTGTCGGCGTGTGTGCGTATGTGCATGTCGGTCTTTCTTCCAGCTGCTGCAGGGTTCAGCACAAAGGGGCGAAGGGGAGGGGGCTCGGATTGATTTGTGGGGTGGGGTGGGGGGCGCAGAGGGGAAGGAGGTAGTAGTGATGGTGGAGAACTACGTCTCTGTTGTGTGTGCGCGTTGGTGTGTGTGCATTTTGTGCGCGCCTTACATGCCTTTTGCCCGCTTGACTTTGCTTGGTTTCCATAGAGAAGGAGCCTTGCGT